TGTGTGTGTGTGTGTGTGTGTGTATTCTTTCGAAATTTTTCTCGCGCGAATTAAAATTTCCATGACTTTCAAAAAATTAATATTTTTTATTTATCGATACATCGACAATGCGATTAAGGTTGATGTATTTGGTGGTAAAGTGAAAAGTCATGGAAACGTTAAGAAAAATCGAAGAAAAATCGACAATGTCATGTCTAATAAAATCCCAAATGTGCCGAACATATTGCCAAGTATTTATTGATTTGGCATCATGACCAAATTTTATAATCTTATATTGCGATATCGTATAAACGCCGATTCGATTCGAGAGTATATCGCTGAGGAAATCGATAATTTTCCTTTTCGATAACTGAAAGAAAAATTGTAAATTAGAGTCCAGCTCAATTTTTTTCTTTTTTCTTTTTTCTTATATCCTTTATTTCTTTTTCTTTATCTTTTTCTTTCTTTTGTTTTCTCTTCGTTTCTTTTTTCAACAAACAAACTGGACGACTCTCGTTGCACAAATATTTCTTTCTCATTTCGTGTCACGCACGAATTTATTTTATTTAGATACAATTTTAATGATAACATATTTAGATACGTAATAAATTACTAAAACGAATCTTTGACACACACACACATACGTGCACATAAAATACATATATATATATATAAATATATATGCTTCTTTGTACAAATTTATCATATAAACATGATTATAAAATATGTGAGATAGCTTTTGTTTAAAGAAATTCTCTTTAAAGCGGAATTAAAAAAAAAAAAAAAAGCAAAAGACAAATGAAAGGTTAATTATAAAAATGTCCAACAATTCTCTCTTCGTTCTGCTTGATCTTTCCAAAAAAAAGAGAGAGAGAAAAAGAAAAAAGAGAACGAGATATATTCGTGTACAAATTGTAAAAAAAATTATTTTTCAACAAAAAAAGAAAAAGGCAAATAAAAGAAGAAAGATAAAAAAAATATCTACGCCGTTTCTCGTGAAAAAAAAAAGAAGAAGAAAAAAAAAAAAGAAACAAAAAATCTTTTGTAACCGACGTAAAATAATTGGTTAAAAAAAAAAAAAAAAAAAAAAAAAAAAAAAAAAAAAAAAAAAAAAAAAAAAAAAAAAAAAAAAAAGAAAAAAGAAAAAAAAAAAAAAAAAGGAAAGGAAAGAGTAAGCAAAAAAACAGTCATTTCAAAGCAACTGCAAATAAAAAAAAAAATTTGATTTTGCCAGAAATGTTATCCGCCAGACTAGACTATTTCCAAAGCTTCTGTTCCTCCTCATCCATCTCCTCATCCATCGTTTGCGTTCTCTGATTCTCGATTTACCAACAACGTGTTTCAAACTCGAGTTTAAACGTTCCGATCCAAAAGCGCGTCTGTCACGCGCAAATCTGCAAAGAGAGTGAGAGAGAGAGAGAGAGAGAGAGAGAGAAAGAGAACTAGTAGTTTGATTGCATTCCACGACGCAAGAGGAATATTTAACCCTTTCGATCTTTCCTATCCAAAACATAGATCATATAGATATATATATATATATATATATATATATATGCATACATACAGAAAACATTAATTAGTTATTAAACTATAAAATTAACGAACTTCGAAATAACGAGACGTGTTGAATGCTTGTAACGAAATTGCCCAATCGTTTGTCATAATCGATTATTTTGGTAAAATATTATAAATATTACTTTCGAATTTTGTCTTCTTTCTTTTCTACAAATTCTATTAATAATAATTGAATTATTTACTTCAACGAAAAGTTACAAACTATAAATTATAAAACCGAACGGATAATTTGGCATAATATAATTATAGAATTAAGTAACTTGAATAGGTTTTTGTTGAGTAAAAGATAAAAAAAAAAAAAAAAATGAAAAAAAAAAGGGAAAAAAAAAAAAAAGAAAAGAAGAAAAGAAAAGAAAAAAGAAAAGAAAAAAAAGAGAAAAAAGAAGGGGGAAAAAATTGTCGCGCGAAATGAAACCAAATAGGAAAAAAAAAGGAAAAAGAAAAGAAAAAAAAAAAAAAAAAAAAGAAATGTAGGTTAGAGGGGAGAAAAGGACAAGCACATTTATGTCGCAATTCGAAGAAATGAGGGAAGTCAATGCTCTCTCTTTCTCTCTCTCTCTCTCTCTCTCTCTTTTTCTCTCTCTCTCTCTCTCTTTTCTCTCGTATCATATTGTCGTAAATATCGAGTGTCAAAGAAACGACGATATCCGCAGATATGAGTTCGTAAGGGCGCAATCCAGACTTGTATGCGTACATATGCGTGCGTGTGTGTGTGTGTGTGTATGTGTGTGTAAGTGTGTTTGTTTAAGTACTCGTCCGAATATGGGGTCATACTCTTCTACCACGCGAAAAAACTCACGGGAATGAATGACTATGCTTCGTTTTATGGTAACGCGCATAAATTGTCACTTCTTTATGGCATTCCAATGAGTCGCCCCTATCGAGAATTGATTTTCTAACTATACACACACACACACACACACGTATATATATACACATAGAGTGT